AAAAGCGAAGTCTTTGTAAGTTATATCCCATAATAAAAATTTGAATTTGAATTTGACCACGGTTTATACGTATCTTTTTATAGGATAGCACACTTTATATTATCTTTTCGAATGTTTTGTCTGTTTCAATGTATTTTACTTTACTTTGTTTCCATGCAAAAATTATGTTCCGCTCTATGGACTACGTTGAGCTGCAGCGAAATCGTCTTGGACATAAATCATGCAGTATTGTGATATAGTCTTTTCTATTTTGAAGNAAGGTTTGTTTCAATTCACCTTAAAAGTTAAGAAAATTAACCAGTCACGATAACAAACTGTCTTGTCAGATGACGTGAACTACGGTAAGCAGGCAACTAGACACCCGAAACAAAAATACAGGCGATCCAAACTGTAATTCAAGACGAAGAGATGTAGTAAGGGTGCGTTAGTCTCTGCATCAGTGCGTTATAAAGTGCTTTTATTGATTTTCTACTGAAATTGTGAAAAAATAGTGCTGATGCACCGCAACGGGTATCGGTTCCACTGCTCCGTTCTAGATGTAAGACTTTGGTCCCCGGTGCAAATGTGCGTTGAAAAGTATGTGGATCGATCGATTGATATTCCCGGTAGATGCGTTTGTCCGAGCCGGTGGAAGCATGTGATGCATTAACTGAAACAAACGAAATAATGTCCCAGGCCTCAAAGTGCGACATATATGGATGGACTAAATTTCATTTTGAATCACTTCTTGTGAACAAATGTCCATACTCTCAATGCGAGACGTGTTTCCTCCCAGCAAACTTATCAGGAACTGTGTAATTTTATGTAAAAGTCACTCCAAGATTCACTCCGGTAGATGCAGTACAGTGAAATTCAATGATATATAATGCAAATAAAACTAAGATCAACTATTTTGTAGACCCGACGGTTTTATTGGCAGAGTTAAGTAGTTTTGTGATATGCAGGACCGACCCCAGTCCTGAATCCACTCGAAATACATCGGCAGATTGATTCCGGGCAACGCAGTCCGAGTTCTTAAACAATTTGGCGTCTTCACAAAAGGCCACACTCCATACACAGGTTGAACACATTTCTCACAGGAGGTTTTCCGTGTAGGGAGCCGCCAAAGGACCTGCAAGACAGGGAAAGTACGAAAAGCAACCATAAAACAAAAGGTCCAGTGAGACATGCACACGACTCACAATCAAATCAAATGCGCTGCGCCCCTGTCTTCACTACACTTGTAAACTGTCTGCCAACAGTTGTCGTTCGACTAGCAGTCAGCGAAGCATAAAGGTATCGTCCGGGGGCAAGTAGCCACTAGTGGTTCAGCAGGGAAAACACAACACCAATCGCGGATACTCGGTATTGATTACTCTGAGCTCAAAATTCAATTTTTCCCCACCGGTCAGTATCACTTAGTCTGGTTCGTGTATTCTCGTCCCCTCACTCAAATCTGCCATTCGTGCTCTGCAACTCACACCCAGTACAGCGTACGTTATTTTTGTTTACAATCTTCACATATCCGGTGGAATGTGGATTCGCATAAACTGACGGCGAACGCACTTGAACACTCGTATCGATTTATATTTCAAAATACCACCTATGCTGACCCAAACACTGTTACCTCTTTGTTCGCTCTGTCTCTTTCATCTGTCTGACAAACCGAGTGTGCTGTTCTTATGCAGTTGTTTTCGGAGTAAGATTTCAACCAACAATAAAGTTTTGTGCATGTTCGGTAATCTGAAAACGTGTTGCTGAGCGAACTCCGCCAGTTGTCACAACCGTTTTATCCATACTCCATGCATTCGAAAGTACGCCGCTCTTGTTTTCGTTACACTATTGTTGACATGAATCGATATTATGATTTAGAAAAAAGAGAATTCCTCCCAGTTCAATCGGACTTGTTTCCACATTCGATGCGGGTTTCTTCGAGAACCGGAAACGATTAATTTCATCACAACGAGAAAAAAGCAAATTTCAGCAGGATAAGATGAATTCAGCTATATCGGGTACTCTCAATCTGCTGCATACGTACAATGACAATCGAGGTTATACAACAACAAAGACATGATAGGTTATGGGACAAGTAGGGACAGGATAGGGACAAGACTTGCCAGAAAGTCTAATTGTTTACACAAATCGGATTCAAACCGTCGAGTAGCGGAGGCTTCAGCAAAATGAAGTAGACTATGGTGTTGTTGTCTACTTATGATCCTAAAAAACTTACTTGGCTCCACACAAGTTGCAGTCTGATATGTATGTGGCTATCAAAAGAGCTTTTGGGAACTTTATCTCCCTTCAGCTTAACCTTAATTTGTGTAAACAATTAGACTTTCTGGCCAGTCTTGCCCTACCCTGGTAGGACTGAACCCCGTCATGTGTTCACTCGCCGCGGTTGACTGTGTGACCTTCGATCTTGTCCTGTGAATGGCCCAATTGATGTGTTCATTTGTCCGATAATCTATCATGTCTTTGTTGTTGTTTAACCTCGGTAATCATTGTACGTATGCAGCTGATTGAGAGTAACTGAAATAAATAAATTCATCCTATCCTGCTGAAATGTGGTTCTTCCTCGCAGCGGTGAAATTTGTTCAAGGAACTGGAAATGAATAAGTTCTATAAGTTCCTCGGATCAAACAAAAGCGGAGAGTTTATCCATGGCACCCTGCTCGGTTACGCAATTTACGTAACTTTTCTCTTTCGTATTCCCAATTGCCTGTAATTGGTCACTGGTGTGAACTAGTCATACTGTTTGATTTGGTTAAATCTACGGGAATGACCGATTTAAAACACCTTTCTACACCGCTGGCCATCAGCTGTGTTCAATCAAATTACAATCTATCCATATTGTGAAAACAGTTTAGTTCCCATACAACTCATTGATTAATCACACATACTTTTTTTCCTTAGGTGCTTTTCTAATACCTTATTTTATCAGTATATTGGCCGCCGGCCTACCCGTATTCTTGTTGGAGGTGACCGTTGGCCAAGTGACAGCCCAGGGTGGTATCGCAGCATGGAACATATGTCCCCTATTTCGAGGTATGTCTCGTCTGATCGTCTGATCGATTGGCGTAGAGTGCGCATAACTTTCAAATAGCCTAACTGTTTTGTTTTGCATAACAATAGTTACCAGATGAGCACAGTTAATTTCGTTTTATCTCCCCCTAAGGTATCGGATTTGCCAGTATGGTGACCAATTTTTGTCTGGACTGTTACTACAACGTGATATTGGCCTGGGCAATCTACTACTTGTTCTCATCATTCACATCAACTCTGCCGTGGGCAGAATGTGGACATTGGTGGAATCAACCACAGTGCCAGAACGGTTCCAACGTAACCAATGGAACGGTTCCCACTGACCCTGCGGCCGAATTCTGGGAGTAAGTTTCTCAGTGTGGATTGGGCCAATGAATGCAGGAGGTTACAATAGTTTGTAGTTTTAAAGAAGAAATTCGTCATGTATATGGAAAATGAAACGTAAATTGAAAAGCTAGGAAGAACTGGACAGCTATTTCCACCTGGTTGGTTCTCATCAAAAGTGCGAATACATTGACCCAACTGGGAATGGAACCTGGGACCTCCCAAGCAGAACTCAAGCGTACTACCCACTCGGCCAACGGGTAGCTGACCAGACCGTTTTTCATTTTCCATTTACACATTTGTAGTTTATTCAAAAAACTGTTTTCCCGTCATACATGTGATTAGAGAAGTCAGACACATGGGGTGGCCCACTGTGTTCCTGATCAGTTCACTGCAACACGAAAAAGGAGAATTGAAAGTAGGGATCAATCCCTCGAGCAGTGCTAATGTGACTGATCATTCACGTTGAATGGTCAAAGCTTCCGTATATTGCAGTTGCTTTGTGTTTGCCGTATTGCAAACGATAGTAGATGAGTGGGTTGGGTAGACGCAATCTTCCTTTTCATGTGAAGATTGTGTAGTCGAAGAGGCGGATCAAAAACTCTCTTTCCAAGAATGTTCTGCTACACCGCATCGTCTGTCAAGGAATCGAAGAAGGGAACCTGCAGATCGGGTAATCGAACGGTGACATATCAAGATTTCTACTCATAAACATATCAAATGTTTTAAATATAGACAATAACCGCCTACCGTGGATGAATCAATTAGATGATACCTCTTCTCTCACGCAGCATGTGGTCCGAGGAATTGTTTACATGTCACAAGCATCACCCCCACCCCACCCTCCGGATAGAAATATAAAACAGAGTCGTTCGAACATTTTATGAACTTCAGGAGAACTGTGCACGGTAGACCCCTTATAGGATGAAAGCGAGCTCCTGAGCTTGGCACCCCGAGCAAAGGAATAACCGGTTGCATTTATCACCGGATATTCTTTGATGCACAACAGAAGACCGTAAACCCACTAATTGCCTCCAAAAGAGAGTTGTCCACAAGCTTCAATCCCAAGGGCGATTTATTTCCTCCGATTAGTCAGGAAACAACTAAAGACGGAACGACTGAAAAAAATTGTGCGCGTGCCCTTCGATTGGCTGCGCTACACTGTCGTGCTTGTTC